TTAATATTTTTCCGAGCCAAATCAGTCAGTTTAAGAATATCAAATAAAATTTTCGGACTTAGAATAATTTTTAAGAAAAATCCCATAACAGTCTAAATTTATCCGGATCAAGCATCTAAGTCAAGTATGAAAAATAATTATTTTGAGCACAATACTTAGCATATTTTTACTTATATGTTTATGTAGCCTAAGGAGAGTCGAGCCTCCGATCGCTACTACAGTTCAGAGCACTTGTATCAGTCCAGACAGTTTCAGTTATCAGGTGGGGGTCATGTACTGGATTACACATTATATATAATATCTGTACCATGGCAGAGGTATGTTCGAGACAGTTAGTATTTCCAGGTGATTGGCCGACCTAAGGGCCTTTCGAGTTTTACCTGGTACCGGTGGAGGCCGAGGGCCTTAATATCCCATCGGTGTGTGCACACGAGCGGCCGAGGCCGAGGGTCTTTTGACCACAGTACAGAAAGAAAAGAAAAGCTTACAGTTCAGCTCTTATATATGTATGTTCATGATACGTTATTATACATGATGTCTTATTCAGTACTGGTCTTTGCGGAGCATAGTGGTTTGCTCACGCCCCCATTGTGATTTTCAGGAGACGGAGTCGAGCGTGCTGGGTGAGCTATGCGTGGCAAAGCGTGGTCATGACAGCAAGGACATATTTTACGCACATTTTTATGTCCTAGTTTATGATCATGTATTTATTCGGTTATGTATGCATGTATTATGTATTTCGGATGCTTCCGCTAGCAGACTAGACTGTGCGAGACAGATCAGACATTGCATGTTTAATTCCATTATCGGCAGCGGATAGCTTGGTTGCATGTTTTATTTATGTCTGTGAGTAAGTTAAGTAATGTTTTTATCAGTGTCATCCCGCAACAAGTTAGTGTTTTCGAAAACCAAGCTCGCACCACCTTTCGAAATCAAAAGCAAAAATTTTACTCTGATTTTTCAAAGCTAGTAAGGCGGGGTGCCACAGGTATAGCTTGTAAAACTCAAACTTGAAGGTTTAACGGTTAAAACCACGTAGCTTTAAGGTTTGAGAATATAAAACTACTTTGTAAACACAATATGTGTTAAACCTCTAATATTGAGGAAAAAATTAAATAAAAATAGTTGCATAAAGACGTGTGAAATACACAAATCTGGGCATGAAATACAGGCTAAAATACATGCTCAAATGAGTGATATAATGTTAGGCAACATGTCAGTCCCTTGTGTTTTCATTTTTATTTTTATTATTTTTACGTAATTAATTTTCATACTGTTTACGAATTTTATGAGAATATTTCTTCATCTATTTACACTTTTATTACTCTGCTTATTATTTGCATTTTGTAGAATTCTCTCTCTCTATCTCTCTCTTTATATATTACTTTGGATTGTAAATTGTTTTAATAAATTTATGATAAATATTGGAAACATTTAGATTAAAAAAAATAACAAACAAGTTTTAATTGTATATTTATATATTATTTTTATATTTACGATGGTTTATTTAATTACAATTATACTAACCTCTACAGTTTATTTATGGCTTATGTTTCGCTTATTTTTACCATTAATTTTTAAATTGCATTAGCTTTTGATTTATAACTAATTTATGAATCTATATATGTTGAAAGAGAGAGGTAAATAGATCAAATGAAGAAAGTTTTAAGAAAAATTGCAGTCAACCAAGTTGACTTACTGAATATGACAATCATTTTAAACATCCGAAAAAAAATCATTCACGCGCTCATGTGGCAAAAATCCTTCCATATCATAATTCACACGCTTTTGTTAAATATGGCAAATATCATTCCATATTTTTCGATAAAATAGTTCAAGCGCTCATATGGAATCAATTGTGAAGATTTTTATGAAATCTGTTAAGCATGTATTCCTTTTTTCTTGCCCGTATAAAGCATTCACACGCTTTTGAGGACACTCAATCCATTTTTCACTACAAGTCTGTCGATTTTGTGGAATTCGTGGATCTCAATAATTGGAGAGCCAATTATTTAGGAAACATGAGATATCACAAAAAAAAAAAAAAATACAAATAAATACAAAACCCTATATATATACATACCAAGTTTTTTCTTTTTCTCCAATTCGTGCAGAGATAATCTTACAAATAATCACTCTCGAAATACATACAAGGAAAAATATTATGGCACCATGGTTAATACACTCGCCGTCGTCAACAGGACAAATAAACCTTTTTTGAGGTTAAGAGCAATCTGAATTATTGAAACTCATTTCGAACTGGAGAGCAGGAACTGTTTTCATATCCTGTTTCATGATCCAGAGGTAATATTTTCATTTGTTATATATAAAATACATAATTATGTAAATTATTTACGTTCATTTGTATAACTTCATATTGTAGGTCGCATATATTGCTGGGATTATACGTTATTCGCATATGATGGCCTTTTGAGATTCATTAAAAGAAGGCGATGTATATATGCTCCGCAACTATGATGTTGAACCCAACACATCCGTCAACAACACAACAACCACAGAATGAAGCTTGTGATCAATAGAAGGACCCGTGTGATAAACTACACTGGACTTTACCTCAATACTAATGATATTGATTAGGAAATTATGATATTTAACAATTTAATTCCATGTCGTTTTTATTATTTGCTGATGGGAAAATATATTTTGTCGTTAATAAAATTTTTATTAGTTCATTCATTATTAGTTTATTGTTTTTTAACTTATATCCCGTTTTTTTGTTGTTCATTATATTTGGATTGATTTTGGTAAATTATCGTTGCAGACAATCAAAAGATATTGACTATCAAAATATTAGGATATAATAAATATTCATGATTATCTAAAATTTGGATATAATCAATTATGATTATATAATCAATTTTCGTTTAAATTAAAACAAATCTAATAAAAATAAATAAATTCAATTAATTTCAACATATCCGATTATTGTGTAATTTAATTCAAGGAGGCATCTATAGATAATTTTATATTCGAATTAAATATATTGATTATCGAAAATACTCTATAACATCCAATTTTATGGGTATTTTAGGTCGTTGAAAGAAATTCAAAAATATTGAATATGAAAATTAACAACTCTAATTAGATAAATTTGAAAATATCGAAATCATCCCTAATTTGGTTATGAAAATTGATCTTTGTCGATAACTATGTACAGATCACATCCGATTTATCCCTTATTTAGATAATTATCTAAAATTAAGATATAATCACATCCGATTTTATGGCTATTTTGATTTGTTTAAAGAAATTGAATAATATTGAATAACATCCGAAATTAACATCAACTCTAATTAGATAACTATGAAAATATCGGAATCTTTGTCGATAACTATGTAGAGATCACATCCGATTTATCCCTAATTTATATAAACCAATAAAGTTCGGAGCTAATCAATTTTTTATATCAATTTTTCGTTTAAATGAAATCAAATATAATATAAAAGAGATTAAATTTCTATTATTTCCAACATATCAGATTACTCAAAGAAGCATCTATAGATAATTTTAGATTCGAATTTAATATATTGACTACAACATCCGATTTTATTCTTAATTTAGGTTGTTTAAATAAATTGAAAAATATGGAATAACTTTTTTAAGAGTTTCAATAACACAAAATTCTATCCTTAGCGCACAACGAATTATCACACCCAAATTATCTCTAATTTGATTAATCGTTTAAAGATATTTTTTTATCTTATGCGCATAACGAGATAAGTAGGTAGATATTGAGATAACTATGTAGAGATCTTGGTATGATTTACCCTAATTTATGTGAATCAATAAAATTCGTAGATAATCTATTTTTTATATCAATTTTTGCTTAAATTAAAACAAATCTAATATAAAAGAGATGAAATTTTTCCAACATATCAAATTATTGCCTAATTTAACTCAAGGAAGCATCTATAGACAATTTTAGATTCGAATTAAATATATTGATTAATTGAAAATAATCTACAACATCCGATTTTATCCCTAATTTAGGTTGTTTAAATAAATTGAAAAATATGGAATAACTTTTTTAAGAGTTTCAATAATACAAAACTCTATCCTTAGCATTACCATACTCATCAACTTTTCCCTTTTATAGCATTACCAAAAAAATTGTAGCCGTCCGATCGTTACAAGTGTAACAATTCTAACAGTTGGATACATAACCTTTAGACATGTTAGGCCTCTTTCAATCAATCTGANTAAAAAAAAAAAAAAGAACAAAACGGGCCTTTCTTTTACCAAAACTTACCTGATTATATGGGCTTTTTTACCTAAATTGATGTGCAGCCCAAACAATTTTTCAATATGTCTATTATTGGGCTGATTTTGCAGTACAATTTTGTTTTTTAATTAACTAATTATCTCGATATTTCAACATCTTTGTATACTTTATACAATTTATACAATTTATATATGTTGAATATTGTAGTGATCCATTATATTATTTTCTTACAATTTAGTATAAATATTTTATTAATTTGAAAATAATATTGCAATTATGATATTTTAACTAGGTACTATGGATTCTGATATTCGCACTGGAACAACTATTACTAAACATCAAATGATTATAAGATCGGGAAGTTCATCAAATGCTTCAATACCTATGTCGTTCTCTGATATTACAAATGGTATTGTTACATTTATAATTCAATTTATATATATTAATTAATATATTCTGACATTACATTTATGATATTGTAATGTGTAATTTCATATTATTATTTAAGTATACAGGTCGGTCTACCTTTCGTGAAAAAAGGTCGAATAATTCCAATATTATTGGATCGGAAAGCATCATCATAGACATTTTGAGTGACGACGAAAAGGAAAATACAATTATTACTCCACCAATCACGATTTCGTCGTCTAAGCGGTACAGAGCGTGTTTTGTACCAAGTGCGAGTGTTGTAATCGATTTAACTCAAGATGATCTCATTCAATCCATTGTTCAAAAGAAAAAGTGTGGTCGTCCTAGAATGATTCTTGGCTCAACATCAAGAAACTATGGTTATTTTATTCTTTAAATATAAATATTATTCAAATATTATCGTGTTATTATGATAACATGTATAATAAATTTATCTTATTTTTGTAAGTGCAGAATACTGGGACATAGGAGATGCAACCTACTGCTGTAAACATTGTGAAGCAAAGTTTTGGTATGATGAAAGAAAATCTCATTGTCTGAAACCTGTTTGTCCGAATTACTCTGGTTGTTGTCTGAATGGATTAGTAGAGTTTCCTTATGTACGAGATCCTCCTCAATTTTTGAAAGATTTGCTTTATGGAGATGGCCACATGAGCAAACATTTTCAAGAAAATATAAGATCTTACAATAGCATGTTTGGTTTCACTTCAATGGGCGGTAAAATTGATTCGAATATCAATAAGGGGTCAGGACCACCTGTTTTTGCTTTGCACGGACAAAACTATCATTTGATTGGAAGTTTGCTTCCGACTGAAGGTTCTACTCCAGAGTTTGTGCAATTGTACGTATACGATACTGAAAATGAAGTTTCCAACAGAATTAATGCTGTGAGGTATATTATTTGTCTTTATAATGATTAAGAACCTTTTTATTATGTCATTTTGTTATTTATTGTTTATATATATTTGTCTTTATAATGATTAAGAACCTTTTTATTATGTCATTTTGTTATTAATATATATATATATATATAGGTAAAGGATCATATGAGAATAAGAGTTGGTGAAAGAAATAAGAACGAGTATACAACGTCGGATTCGTCAAAACAACCGTTGTGATTAAATTCTGGACGCAATTAAAACAGGTGGGACGCGGTGGCACAACCGTAAATATAGCCCAACTACATGGTTATATGTATGCACAAGAGGGCACTACCATCATTTTTCCATAACAAATGGGGTAAAGGATGTTTACGGACCCATTAATTCCTGAATTAAATTTGCCTTGCATTTTCTCTCTCACTAGTACATAGCCCGTGCGATGCACGGGGTGCACAATTTTAAGACTATTTATCCAGACTTATAATTATATACATGAATAAAGAAAAATGTACGGGATATATATAGTACGTGACCCGTGCGAAGCACGAGATATATTTATTTGGAGAATATTATATTATAAGATGCAATATTCAATAAAAGTTTATAATACGCAAGAAAATTGTACAATGTTCAATAAAAGTTTTATAATATTCAAGTGGAGTCTTAAATATTTTAATCAATGAGTTTCCTTTCCTTGTAGCCAAATTGTGAATGTGATTTGATGAGTACAACAAATCGATATATAGCTGACTTGCTTTTTTCATTGTAGTTTTTTTTCTTTTTTTTTTTATAATGAATTTAAAGATATTCTAAAATATAGCAAAAATTAATTTTTTTATTACAATTAGGAATTTTACTAAATATAGACTCTCAATCTATGGTGTTAATCAACGTTTAAGTCTAAAAAATTAGGAATTTTTACCTCTTTTAATCAACGTTTAAGTCTAAAAAACAATAGAGTTATTATAAGTTTTTTTCTACATCTTTTAAAACATTAAATATGAGCATGTTAGGGCTAGCTTGTAAAATAATTAATATATTATCTCACTAAAACATTTATACTAATAAAAATTTAATTTTAGCATATAAATTTATCCCTTGATATAAGAGAAAGTAACAGTTTTACTTATTGTTGTTCACCATATAATATTTAATTATTATTTTATTATATAATAAAAAAGAAATATTGTTAAATAGTGTAGTAGAATTGTTATAAAATTATATGATTTTTTTTTTTAAAATATGGATTTAATATTTTTTTATGACTTGATAATATAAACAAATCTATACTTAACTTTGACAAATAAAACAAATAAATACTTTAGTAAGTATTTAATGTATATATTAAATAGGAATATATTTGGTATAATCAAAAACCAAATATAATCAAATAAGTCAAAGTGTACATTTTTATTTGGTATTTGATTTTTTTATTATTAAAATCTTTTTATTATACTTACCTTTTTAAAATAAAACAAATAAATAAATTAATTAAATAAATAAAATATTATAATACCAAAATAGTAATGACATTTAATGCAGTTGACTTTTCTGGATAGTAAATGTAATAAATAGAATCTCCTTTTATATAAGTATAGATATGATATTATATTATGTTGCTCAAAATAGTAATGCATTTATTGCATTGACTTTTCAACTTACTAAATTTCGTAAATGGTACACCTTATTATATAAGTATAGATTGAAAGCCCTACTCAGACAATGAAAACGATGGCGATTTCGAGCTGATTTACACTTCGATTTTCATCCTCGGAGATGTTTTCAAGCTGATTTTCACTCTTTTTTTCATCCTCGAGCAACGTTCAGGTGGGATATTTCCAGATCTATTGAGTTTGATACATTGTGTCGTCACTTGGTTCACAACGATTTTTTTTTTTTTTTTTTTTTTTCACTAGATCTCAAGTATTTGCTATCAGTGGACGATCTTGAAGAACCCGTGCTTGCATTCGAATATGACAGGTTAGATTTAGCATTATTTTACAATATTTATATATTTTTGTAGATTTGTTGGCTGTTTACTTAATGTTAGGGCTTTGTATATGCTTGAATTTGAAAACGACGATTATATCAATGTTCTTTCTTTATTTTTTATTTTTTATTTTTCTTTATTTTTTGGAGTTGGTTGATGTAGATAAATGAATGTGTCCAGAAACTCTGCACCCAAAAAGCCTATTATCAGAAAATGTATATATTAATACTTCCCTGTTATCAGAAAATGCATATATTTCCTAGTTGTCTAGCATCTACTCTCATTTCAGAAATCAAATTGACGGTCCTTTGACATTAATATATATTAATACTTCCATGTTTATACTTGTATGTTCCGAGCTTGAATGTCACGATTTATTTGACATATCATATATCACTTAATGTGTAGTTTTTTATACTAATATCTGTGTTGTGCAAGCATTAGCAACAAGTCCAATGACCCGACAGTTGGAAAATCGGGCGGTACAGGTCAAGATGTTAATTTTCTAAGAAGACTGTTATTTTTTTATATGTTATCTATATGTGCCTTACGTTTATACGATGATATAGATGCACATTCAGTCGTCGAAGATGGATCGATTGGACCTCCATTAGCTTCGATAGGTATATTGTTGTAGCATGGTCCATGAATGGCATAGTTACTTTTTGTTGTGTTCGTAACCTTTTTCAATCATCTCAGTTACGCGTCGTCGTGCGAGTTTAAATTTATCTCAATAAGAAACTGTACCACAAGATGCCGACCATGCCGAGGGAGGTACACATATGTTTATTATATATTTTGATATACTATGTTTATTAATTATTCCTGCTGTTTCACTTTGTGTTCTTTAAGTTGCAGCCATCAAGCATAAAATCGATGCACCGAACCAGCCTGAGAAACGTGGAAAACGTGCAAGCACGATTGGCCATTCGGACGGCGATGATTTTGTTGATGATGTACCTCAATTGAATCGTGATTCAAATGTGGTGGCACGAGATGCTATATTAGCTTTCAGTCATTCATAGTCCTTATTAATCTACATGAGCATTGAAAGTTTAAAAATTATAAAAACCTGTTAGCATCACCCATCCTTATTATGTTCATACAATGTTTGATAAATCGCAGCAGGCAAGCGTAAGAGTGGTGCACCAATTCGGGCAGAGGGACGTGGGAAACGTGCCAAAAAAATCAGACCGCTTGAAAGTGATGATGCTCATGAAACCCAAACAGAACGTTGTCACCAAACAACAATGAGAGATGGTATAAAGTTCTATATCTCATGACCACTATAATTGTTTACGTTATACAATACTAGTTTGTCAATAAGCTTATATAACTCCCAGGTTTAGAAAGAGGGCATCGGATCATTAACGAAAAAAGTGATACGATTGCATTAAAAGATACCGGGGCAGAAACCAATGATGCTTTCCCGACCATCCACACAAGAACGTCACCAGCCATATTCGTGAAGGCAGTGTCCGGTTTGTCCGAAGACCAGAAACGTGCAGTTCGCGAGATGGGGTTTGGATGTGTAATGCCCCATTTATTTGTGGATTATTTGATAGTATAATTATTATTTTTATTGTTATTATTATTGTTATTATCATTTTTGTGATAATATTTATATTTATTTTTCTTGAATGCCATAATATTATTTATTGCCAAAATGTGACTAAATGCCAAATGTCTAATTGTCTAATTGATTTTCGTGATTTATTAAATTATTAAATGTGAATAATGTGTATTAATATATATATGTAAAATATATATATTGTTCGGTTTATTTTTATCGTGTGTTTGAATTCGTTATCGAGCCCGAAAATTTTCGTTGGAACCGAAATTGAGCCCGAGAATATCCGTTTGAATTGTAATCGGGCCCGTGAGCCGATTTATTTTTGCAAACCGGCCCGTAAGCCGATTTAATTGTCGCAAACCGAACCCGTGAACCGGCCCAAAAACCCATTTGGCCCAGCCTTGAACCCGGCCCAGTAGAATTTTTCCCCTGCCCGTTTTTCGTGTGTGTGTGCGGGTGAGTGTGTGTAAGTTTTATGTGTGTGGTTTTTGTCTTGGGGATCAAGACTATAATTTTTAACCTAATCTTATGTTATATATTTTCTCCCCTCACACGTAAACCTCACAATCCCGCAGCTTTGAGTTTCTGTCTCGTTTGATCAGAGCAAAAACTCATCTCTCTCTCTCGCAACTTTTCTTTTGTTTCTTTCAAAACTGATCGTCATCGTCATCAACCTTTTTCCTTTCTCTCGCCAATAATCTGATTGGTCATCGTCACCACCATCATCTTCCCTCGTCATTCCCCTTTCCTCTGCAAATTTTCGTCGCCATCTCCTCCCCGCAAAAACCAGACCCGCAGGACCCTCGCGATCTCCTCGGGCGAGTCCCTCTCCTCCGCCGCTGAAATAGAGACGCTGTTGTTGTCCGTGAGAAGGCCCGACGACCTCTTCTCTCTGAGCCAACAACTCCGGCGAGC